AGGTTCTTAATCAATTTGTTAAAGAATCTGCATGATGGGTCAGATGCTTTACATATATGGTGATTCTAACCTCATACAACCCTTGCAAGCAAACATCCCCTGATTACTCATCAGGATACAGGCACAAAGAAGTTAAATGTTCTTCACAGGAATGAATACAACTCCTTCTCACTCTAAAACCTTATGCTCTCAGTAGTAACCATCTATATGTAAAACACCTCTCTCTTACCTCCTTCACCACCCTCCCCATTCTGATTGCCTCCTCCCATTTCCAGAAAGAGGACCACCTAACACTCTGTATTCCAGCACCTTAACTGAAAATCATCAAAACAGAGAACTTTCCTGTGACCCTTGGTGAGAACCTGCCAAGTTAAGCCTGTGCCAGTTTTCAGGAGGAAACATGAATACCAAGCAGTCTGACCATGACCCTTTAGACTTTTTTTATGTAATCTAAATTCCCTTGGATGGTTAGGGTACTCTATTACCAGTAAAATTTATTTTATTTGTTCATGCAGAATAAAAATTATAAAGAGGAAATTGAGTCTAGCCATATAACCACTTACTACCTTTGATTCCCAAGTTATCCTAGAGCAAAAAACCTCTGAGCTCTTTTCCAGTCAGGTAAAGAGAAGAATGAACTTTTGAATCCAATTATTTACTTTCTCCTATATTTAATTCAAGTAGCTTTAAAGGTTAACAAAAGAAAAATTGAAGCTAAATATTTGATTAAACAAAAAAATATACACTACTAATGAATTTCCTTTTCTGTATCCCCCTCCAACTCAAGGCTTGTAGAATTATGAAAGAAGTAGAGCAATGTTCAGTAGAATAAAAACACATTTTCTGGGCCCAGAAAGATCAAATTCTAACCTCATACAACCCTTGCAAGCAAACATCCCCTGATTACTCATCAGGATACAGGCACAAAGAAGTTAAATGTTCTTCATAGGAATGAATACAAGTCCTTCTCACTCTAAAACCTTATGCTCTCAGTAGTAACCATCTATATGTAAAACACCTCTCTCTTACCTCCTTCACCACCCTCCCCATTCTGATTGCCTCCTCCCATTTCCAGAAAGAGGACCACCTAACACTCTGTATTCCAGCACCTTAACTGAAAATCATCAAAACAGAGAACTTTCCTGTGACCCTTGGTGAGAACCTGCCAAGTTAAGCCTGTGCCAGTTTTCAGGAGGAAACATGAATACCAAGCAGTCTGACCATGACCCTTTAGACTTTTTTTATGTAATCTAAATTCCCTTGGATGGTTAGGGTACTCTATTACCAGTAAAATTTATTTTATTTGTTCATGCAGAATAAAAATTATAAAGAGGAAATTGAGTCTAGCCATATAACCACTTACTACCTTTGATTCCCAAGTTATCCTAGAGCAAAAAACCTCTGAGCTCTTTTCCAGTCAGGTAAAGAGAAGAATGAACTTTTGAATCCAATTATTTACTTTCTCCTATATTTAATTCAAGTAGCTTTAAAGGTTAACAAAAGAAAAATTGAGGGCCGGCCTGTGGCTCACTCGGTAGAGTGCGGTGCTGATAACACCAAGGCCACGGGTTCGGATCCAATGAACTTTTGAATCCAATTATTTACTTTCTCCTATATTTAATTCAAGTAGCTTTAAAGGTTAACAAAAGAAAAATTGAAGCTAAATATTTGATTAAACAAAAAAATATACACTACTAATGAATTTCCTTTTCTGTATCCCCCTCCAACTCAAGGCTTGTAGAATTATGAAAGAAGTAGAGCAATGTTCAGTAGAATAAAAACACATTTTCTGGGCCCAGAAAGATCACATAGATCAAATTATCATACTTACACATGACAAAAAAGGATGAGTTTCCTGAATCTCTGTACCTCCCTTAGCTCATGAAGCTAATTTCAATGAATATCCTTGTCTTATCACTGTGTCAACCACTCAGTGCTATACATGGAAAACCTACCTTAATATCTTTTGAGTGGCATTATTTCTTTTGATTGTCCCATCTTCCAGCAAGGAGAAATCAAAGGTTGGCTCTCTCCCCACTTCCACCAAGATCAATTAGACTTACTCGAGATGACAACCCCAAGCTGGCTCTGTGGTGCAGTGGACAGTGAGTGCACTGGACTTCCTGCTAAGCCAGGTGTGGTCATTCAAAGATTACAACCCCAACCTGAGCAATAAGACACAACACATGTAATATGTTCCTACTTCCTTTTCCATTCCCTCTCTAGACATGAGGGCCTATCAAACACACATCCCAAGACAGGTACACTCTATTACATCAGGTATTTTGTTACTATTCTAAGTTGTGAGGCAGTAATACAAATGTTTCTTTTTCTTTCCACAGCTCTGTAAGTCTTGTGCCAAAAGAAACCTAAAACAAATATGTTACAGCAAGATAAATGTGACTCTAGCTAGCTTGGTATCTTTTTCATTACAATATGCTAAGAGAATAAATCAGGCACAGAGGAAGAGATGCTAAATATGCCAAGAATCTGGGGGAATATAAGCTGGGCAAATCAGTGTACTCCTTGACCTTCCGTCCTCACAGCCAGAGCAAACCTGCCTTCTTCCCATCTTAGCACCCGTAAATAAAAAGAACAGCTTTCACAAAAGTGGCTAGTGTACAGTTCTTAAATATTGGTATGTGTTTTTGTACCCCAGAACAACCTACCCCCCACCCCTCAACACAGTAAAGTAAGCAAGTCAAACAAAATGAGAACACCAACTTTTTGGAAGAAATTTTTATTTAGCACTGTAAAAGAATGAGAGGAAACAAGCGAAGACAGGTAGGAAGAGGTAGGAAGACAGA